ACACGCGATGGCAGCAGCGAGCGCAGCAGAGCGCTCTGCGCCTGCGCGCCCCCCCCATAGCTGTTGCAGTACCGAGATTTGGACACGCGATGGCAGCAGCGAGCGCTCCACAGCGCTCTGCGCATGCGCGCCTCCCCCTAACCGTTGCAGTTTGATTTTTTTTTTTTATTTTTTTCAACAGTGAGTGTGGTCACACCGGTATTCCTGGGTTAGGGATAGGATTGTTGTAGATAACTGTCTTCATAAAGTATTTTATGTAGATATTTATTTATTCAGCACCCTTTCCTGGATTGAAGCAGGCAGCTTCCTCAGAGGCAGCTGCAATAAAAATGTTGCTGTCCCGTCCCTCCTTGCCCTTTCTAGGAACTTAATATGACATGTGCCAGTCTGTGGTAGCTATCACAAGGGCCATGCTCATATCTGACCCCAGACAATTACAGTTTGAAACAAATACCACTAGCTGGGTCCATCTTTTTGTAGACATCTATACACACATCTCCCACCTGCCTATGCTGAAGCAGGTAACTTCTTCTGAACACTTCAGTATTCAAGCTTTCCTCTGAACTTTGCAAAATACAGCCCAAAATTACTGGGCTGCATTAAATCCATATATATTAGAACGCATCTTTTTAAACAGAACAAGTGCACATCTGCTGCTGTGCAGTGTCTGGCACGTGTGACACTCGCACACTGGAGTTGCCGCGGTGCACACACGTTCAACAGATAATCTTTCTGGAGCCTAAGCGCTACAGACAGTCCCTTAGGAGCTTGTGGAAAGCTGCGTGCAGGGTCCCTGCTGGCACTGCTGTTCCTCTGAGTAAAGTTATAGGCAAAGGGCAGGAAAGGGACAGGAGGCAGCCACATTTAGGCTCAGGGTTCCCAGAGGTTTCTGTAGCAGGACCTGCCACCACAGCAACCTAAGGCCCAAGCCTGTGGCCTTGCTGCTGCTCAGTGACATGGGGGAAAGGGCAGCGCACTTCCCATGCTATCCAGAAGCAGCCTGCCTGTCCTGGGAGCATCAGCACTCCTCCGGGCCAGGGGCAGAAATAGAGCTCAGCAGCTTTCACCACCACCCCTGCAGTCACAGTTCAAACAATAGCCCCTTTCGGGACAAACGACCTTTTTATTGTGATGTGAGTTATAAAGACAAACTTGACCAGCAAAGAAAAAAGACATGCCTTCTATTTCTGGCTACTCCCATAGTAAATACAATGGCGTAGGGGAGCAAGCAAAGCTGCAACAATAAATTACAATTTTTTATACTCAGTGCTAAGACTGCGTTGTGTCAAAGTTTTTTTTCTTAAAAAAAAAGTTTCATACTGTTACTCAGCTAAAATGAGTATATTTTTCCCATTTTTTTAATGATTCTTTTCAAACAACCAATTTGGTTTCTTTTTTAACTTCTGCCAAAAACTTGCTTTTTTGATATCTGTAGGCAATAAGGCAATTCTTGTAAAGCAATTGGTAAAAATGCCTTCCCCAATGGTACTACTACCCTTGACAGCAAAAGACCATTACTAAAACCACTGTACTCATCCTATCCTTATCTCATCCTCTCTTGGGTTATAGTTTAAAGGGTTTTAGCAGACATTGGAATGTCTTGTTTTTTGTATTATTTCCCTCAACGGGGTGGGGATTAATCTCTGTGGCTTAAGAGCTTTAAGAATATAGCTGTAGTTCTCTAGTGATCATTCCATAATATTCCAGAATATTATGGAAATATATCATGATTTTCATCATCTTCAATACAAAGAATTAAAGTCCTTCAGTTATATATCAAATTCAGAAGCAGTTAAAAATCTATGCAAGACCTTTTCCTACTTCTCGCCTCTTCTTCAGATACCAGTAGAAGAGAAATCCAATTCTAACGTTTTTCTTTCTCTGAAGATGATCTACACTATAAATATGTTTCTTGGTTTTCATATGCTAGAGGAGAAACTTCTGGTATTAGGGATAATATGCACCAATATTAAAATACATTTAAATAAATTTTAGGCATTGCCACACTGAAATATATTCTTAACTCTTAAAGGAGTACAAAAAAAGTTATCCTCAAACATGTGGCATTTCAAATACTGAGTGGCATTTATTAGAAAAAGTTCCGAACTGGCATAACTAACTCAGATCAGAGATAAGGTAAGCAGTATACAATTCAACTAAACCCAGCGATCTCGAAGAGCAGGGCAAGTAACTTCAGAATAACTTAAATTTTTCATTTTTCTTACCCTCTCCTACTTAAAAAAAAGGAAAAAAAAGAAAGAAAAAAAGAAAGGAAAGAAAAAAGAAAAGCTGAAAAAGAGGGGAGGATTATGTTTCTGGGGCAAACATCCTTAACCTACCACCAATTTTAAAGCCACATTTTTTTTTTTAATAAGTCTGTTTGTATTTCTGTTAAGACTTCACAGAACAGCCAGCACTGCCACCAAAAAGGAATTAAAAAAAGAAAAAAAAGATTAGGGTATAGCTGTAAAAGTGAAACTTTTTAACCGCTGACCTACTTAGTGCAGTCATTTTCTTTGACAGTTCTTCAAGTAGAGCCTTGCATTTTTTGCATCAGATGCAGATATATGAACTATTGCTCTAAGTTGGGAGGGGAAAAAAAAAGGCATTTTATATTTCCCATGCTGTGCAAGCAAGACTGAAAATTAACATTTCAACAGAGTTTTTAAATTTCCCTACCATCCTGCAAATTCTTTGTCCCCTCTGTCTTTAAGCGTTGGTAAATTACATTATACCTTTCATCTATGTAAGGGGCCAACTGAAAATTATTACAATTTCCTTAGGAGAAACAAATTGAGAAAAATGAGCCACTAAAGTTGTTCTACTGGACTATAGTACATATTCACAAATCATTCTGCAACCACTCTTGACTCTTAACAACTCCCCAGTCTCCAATGATTCTATCTCAGCAACTGGCTCCCACCACCACAAGCTCACATACAAACGGGTAACCTAGACCTTGACCATTTTTAGAGAGTATTAGATTCTGAACAAAATCTGTAACATTTCTTTTTCACTTTCAGAAAGAGGCAGACTGATTGCTCTGTAGTGCCAGCTTTCTCTTTATATAAGCAACAAGAATTCAAGCCTTACAAAGCACATGCTTAGACAAATAAAGCACCCAGTTGCCCTATGTATATTCTAACATTAGTTCATCCCCAGTGCCCTATAAAAATGCATTCTAAAAATCACCTTCCCTTAAGGAACCTTCTTAAAGTTCATAAAGATACAAGAAATCAGTAAGAGCTGTCAATTCACTGAGGTTCTTGGTCCTCCTCCATAATACATTTGATATACTCAAGCAAGGCATGGGCATATAATGATACACATAGCTACAAGCCTTTCAAGATAGTGTCCTTGACTGATAGCTGGAAGAGACATGGAAAGATATGCTGATTTTTCTTTTATCCTCCCTTTTACAGACTTGCTGGCAGAGGACAGTTATTTCCCGTAAAATTTCTTATTCAGAAGGAAGATCAGAAGGTTGACGTTTACTTTTGCTCTGTCAAACAACTTCATGACTGCAACACCTTCATACTGCAGCTGCAGAAGGTCCTACCAAAAAGAAGACATTTATCAGTGAGGAATCTTTCAGTTAACAGAGAATATGTCAGACCCTAGAATAGAGTGGGATTTTTCAGGAATATCTCTCGAAGTTTGTGGCTCATATAAACTAGGAAAATAAACGACTTATATGAAAAATAAAGGTGCTCTGAGACAAAAGATCTTCATTTTTAAATCTGTTTATAAAAACATTTAATTGAAAACTGTAGAAGAGTGTACAAATGGAAAAGTTCTACGAAAGCCAAATTTCAAATCTAGACATTTCCAGGCTTTCCATTTCCAAAACTGCCATAAAGTTGTAACTTTTGAAGGGATTCCTCTGTATGCCTGACCATATAATGTAGCCTGAAATGTTTTATTCCACAGCCTGACTTTGTAATACACTGAGCAGCCCAGGCTACAGTGAAGTGGTTTAGGGCACTGCAATCGAGGGCAGAAAAAGAAATAACCTCTCCACATACATGATGGCGATTCAGTCTCCTTGGTAACTATGCAGGCAGCATTCCTAGTTACATGTTGCTCTTGTTAGTAATGCATTGCAGAGAGAGCAAAAAGACCCTCCTCACCTATCTCATCAGTGAGCTCATGTCAACATCATCACTCTTGAATGCTAGATACTAGAGGAGGTATTCAGCTAAACCGCCCAATCTAGGTGATGCTGGAATAATTATAAAACCATTCCTCCTGTATTCCATAAACATGTTGAAAATGGCAATGTGATTTTTTTTTTTTTTTTTTTAACCGATGCCACTGCAAATGATCTGCTTGGCTATTGAGGGTAGTTCCCTCACTCTCAGAACATACGCATTTTCTACAAAGCCTACAAAGGAGTAGTGGTATAGCCATGCGTATGAAGGACTTGGAGTAACCAAATTAACTGAAAATTTCACAAGCAGCTCCAACAGAAATGAACTAGAAGAGACCTCTGAGGCCAGGGAATCATTATAGTTGGCAAAGACCTTTAAGATCATCAAGTCCAACCGTAAAACCTTCAACATCATGCCTGCTAAACCATATCCTTAAGTGCCTCATCTATACGTTTCTTCAACACTGCCAGGCATAGCGACTCCACCACTTCCCTGGGCAGCTTGTTCCAATGCTTCACCACTCCTTCCATCTAGAATTTCTTCCTAACACATAACCTGAAACTACCCTGGTGCAACTTGAGGCCATTTCCTCTTGTCCTATCAGTAGTTATTTTAGAGAAGAGATTGACCCACCTCACTACAAACTCCTTTCAGGTAGCTGTTGGGAGTCATCTGCGAGCTGATGGGCACTGCAGCTCTGCTTCCCAGCAGCCAATCAAGAAACATTTTAAGGAAATGAGATATGGACTCCTGATGTGCAGCACTCCTGCACATTATTTATTTCAAGACCCCTGAGACATTAGTGATTGTAAAATCTAACAACGCCTTGGGACCAAATTTTGGGGGACATCCGAAAGTGGAAGAAGTGGAGAGAGATGCTACACAACAGTAACAGTGTAAGAGGCAGAATGGAGGCTGTTTGGGAAGTTTGGTCTGTGTGCCTTTTCCAGGAGCCTGGAGTAACTAAAAACTGAGGAGACCCAAGAACTGGACAGCTGAAGAAACCAGTTAATCGCATGATGGCAGAAAAAGCATCAATAAGCAAGCAATGGCTGAAACCAACACACCCAACCCCAACTGACCACTGCAGCAGACTCCTGATTTCCCTGCTGTAATGGAAATTGGTGAAGTGCAGGCATGCGTGTAACTAGGAATACAAATCTGTATCAAGAAATAAACAAATTTGCTGAACTCCCACTGCATTACATCTGTTTAGCCTGCAAAAGGGTTGATGAAAGCACATTTTTTTCACACTGCTCTGGGAAAAAAGTGTGTGATATTATAATAACGAGTCTAACAAGCAGAAAATTTAATGGCTAGTCATATACAGCCCACAGAACTTACACACCATACATTTTCAATGTTAATCAGGACTGTCCTTACCTGGTAATGTAGCATAAAGGTTTCCATCTGTACCCCCATGAATTTTGCTTTTACCTCAAAATCTCCTACTTCCTCTGTTGGATTAATTTCAAATATCACGTTTTTAAACCTACGAAATTAGAAAAATGAAAACCACAGTCCATTACTGAGGACACAGTTCCTACTGAAACAAAGAGGAATATACCAGATCAACTCAGAAGATAAATTTCGAAGAATCCCATTCTTAACTCTAGTTCTCTTTAAAGTGAGACCTTAAAGCCCAGCTAGACTCAACAGAATAATGAATGGAAACTTAACACAGTCTACGTCTACTAGAACATATCTTTATGAAAGCAGTAATATCCTATAGTAAGAAAAAGGATACTTTAGCACATGCATATCAACATCCCGCTTTAGTGCATGTGTATCAACACCCCATTTAGAGCACAAAGCACAAAACAGAAGTTATAGCAGCAGGTAGCTTCTAAATATTCTACAGAAGTTATCACAAATTCTCAAGGCTAACAAAATCCTGCCCAACCTCTCTATCAAATATCTACTTCAGTTCATCCAGAAATAACAGAACTCAAAAGAAATCGCTATGTGAGATTTCACAGCCCTCGCTATACAGGCATGCCTGCCTAGAAAAATCGAAGCAATTTCTTCAACTTTGAGAGCTAAGGCTACAAACAATACTGAATTTTAGGAGTTCAACCATAAGGGCAATCTGTCATGATTTCAGACAAATCTCAAGATCAAAAGAGCATAAGACTCCTTCTTGTAGGCCCATAACGGGATTATTTTCCTCAAGTCTGAGCAAGCTACAAGAGAGAGACAAAAAAAATTCAACATACCTGTTTCCCTCTTCCCCCAGGAAGGTTACTTACCTCTTAAGGTTACAGTTTTAAAGAGAAACTCACTGGTTAACTTGCAGATCTTCAATCTCTAATAGTACTCCCTTCTCATGAAGTCGAGCTGCAGTGTATTTTAGAGAAATCTTTTTACTATTCTTGCCTTTCATCTCCCGAGGTTTCTTAGAGACCCTATGAAAAACAAATGATGAGTTAACAGGTAGAGAAATCCAACTTAGGTAATTGGCTAGCATCAGCAGAGTTAATCAACTGACTAGCAGAAATGCATCATCTATCTACATAGCATTTGTAGCTTAGATGTTATTTGCAGTAGAAACCATGTCTTTATATGTTAGAAAATCAGAACAAGAGTACATAAACCACCTAAGGCATCCCATCTTTCATTTCCTATTATTTCCCCAAAACTCTTGAGCAATAGCAAGGGGAAAAAAAAAAAAAAAAAGCCTGGTATTTTTTGGGAAACAGTCCCATTTATCATTGGACAAAAGGTAATCTTCTAATGCTTAATAAGGCATTTTATTAGTATTCTGAAAATGGACCAGTAAGCGCAACTTCTACCCAAACAGAAATTAAATGCAGCTGATTAATGAGATGATGCAAGATTACACACACTGAATATATTTATGCATGACCTATGATCCTGACAGTTTTATACTGTTTATAATCTCTCCCCCTCTTCAATCTGTGTTCCTACTACAGGTCCAAGAGACAAACCATTACAGTTGTCCTCCTCACCCCATTAGACTGCTTCCTCACTGTCCATCCTTAACTGCTGCCATATAGTTCAACTTACTCCATGTCTCTTTGAGAAAACACAAAAATCCATTCCATCTTAGAGTTCAGGTTCTACGTTAAAGTAGATTCCCTTATCATGCCAGTAGCTTTAGGCTTAAATCCCAACATGTTTCCCTGATCGACATCTCTATGCTTTACCCCTTTCAATTCACAAGGGCCAAAAGGCCACCTCTGAAATTCCTTCAAACCAGGAAATTCTTTCTGCACGTTCAGATTAAAAACATTACGCAGAAGAAAATCAGAGGAACCACTGCTTTATATCCAATTGACAAAGACTAGGATTTCTCCTGCTTATGTCAGTTGAGGGAAAATTTGGCCTATACTCCTAATTTTCAGACAAGTCAGTTGCCAGAGATAAGGCAAACAACACTGCCCCCCCATCATTTTTTTTTCCAAAAATAATCTCAGCTTAAAAGACTATAGTCCCCCAGCTGTCAAAAGCAAAAGGAAGTGATGAATTTAGGAGAAAGGTATTGCTTTTTGTCAAGAAAATCCCTGCATCTGAATAGTCTTCCACTTAAATAACCAACTCCTTTCAGGACAAAAGATAAAATAAGTCTTACTTGGTGCTTGCACGTAAACAAAATACAGAACTTAAAAACTAGATTATTTTCATTCTCTGCTTCTAGAGAGAATGACAGGACAGACTGGACATTTAAACATGTCTTTTTGACCCCATTCAGGCTCCTCCAGCTGGTATTTTTCTGCCCTCTATGATCACTGGTTTGGTAAAAGGTTTAGACCAGAAACTCTGAGCAGATGCCAGCCATTTGTGATGGCATGCAAATTCATTCTTTAAGGAGAACTTCTAGATCCACAGCTCCAAGTTGCCAAGATACTTACTTGCCCTTGCTTGCCAGGTTATCCAGGCAGGTTTTGATGTAGCTTTTGTAATAATCCACTTGTTCCCCATAAAAGGTAGCTTTGGAGTTCAAAGCACTGTAAGTCTGCTGCAGCTTCACCAGCTCTGCCTTTCTTCTCTGACGATATCTACGCTGATTTCGGATATCCTACAGCACAGAATGGGACATGCAAAGATTTAACAGCCACTGCTGGATGTTCTCTGGCAGTTGCTCAAGCTCCCCACATTGAGACAGACTATTTAAAGTACACTATTTTGATTTGGAATAATCTTGCTTTAGGCCACAAGCTGTAGCAAAATTCCCTAATCATATTTGCCCCAGTTTAGCCCTTCTCTGTGTTGACTTTTTATGGAACTAACCAACCTTCCATAGCAGTTCGTTTGTATGCACTTTCTCAAACTTACATGCTGTCACAGCGGTAGAGACTAGAGTGGGCACTGACAGTACAGAAATCTAAGGATTGCATCAATTTCTCTCTTCTCTGGATAGAAGATTGAAAATATGGTCATACTGGTACACAAGATTTCCTCACCTTTCTCTGTTAGTCAGACATTTTTAATCATAAATTAAATTAATAACCGAACCAAAAAGTGTTGCATGGTCAAGTCAACTTCCTTTTTCATTTCTGATGCTTATTAACTACTTGATGATCAATTCCAATCCAATTTCTAAAGGGTGATCACTTATTTACCTTATGTACATCATCTCTCTCATGCACTACTTTAGTAAATCTGTGATATAGAATATATCATCAACATAGTAGTGAAGAACAGTACGACATCAATTTTGAAAGATTGTTTCTTTATATTTTAGGATTTATGTTATGTGTAAAGTTTTCTTGTAAAGTGTGTCTTCTTGTGTAAAGTTTGTAGAGGCACGATTCAAATTAGTGAAAAGTAGTAAAGAGGAAAAAAACACATTAGGGCTTCCCCCAAGCTATAGTATTTTTCCTTCCAAAGTGCCTGATATCCTGGCAACACAACTATTTGAAAAGACATACATTTCTCATTAAGATAAATGACTTTCTAAATAATGAAGAGGTAAAAGCCCAACAGTAAAAAAGTGTATTTCATCTCTCTACAATAAGTAACACAAAACTTTCTTCTGCAAGCTTTACAGAGTAGTTTCATAACACTGCAAATTGTGGAAAGACACAACCATGACCAGTAGAAAACCACTGATGGGAATACCTTTGCAATATCATTGATTAGTTCCTGGAATTTATTTTTTGCATTCACAGTCCCCAGTTCTGTCAACTTCTTCAGGCCTGTCTTGATTTTCTCTTTTTTTTCTTTAAGATTTAAATTGCTGTCTTCCTTTACCGATACAGACTTTTTCATCTTATCAGGAGTTTTAGCATCCCGAATGGCCCGTTTCTGCATAGCTCGTTGATGCTCTGCTTCCTGGGGGGGGGAGAGAGAGAGAGAGAGAGAGACCAATACATTACAAGTTCCCAAATGGGTTCTTTAAAGGTGACCGGTAACCAGTCTGACTTCCATGATAACGTAGGATAGAGAATTCTGCTCAGTTCTTCCTTTACTGAAGCCAATGAATCCACTCACGTATGGGAGCCAGCAGTAGCCCACCTGCTGTTTAAAACAGCCTTCTAGATAGACAGACAGATATTTAGCAACTATTAAAGAAGTTAAGCTTATACATATATACAATATATTTCCACTATATTCCCTTCTCATTTTAGTTACACATATTTCCAGCATCAACGTTCCACAGCCCCACTGCAATACATAACCACTAAACTTTGATGCAGATTTCTAAGTATAATGATATATATATGTATATGGATAGACAACAATTTCTTAGGCCAAAAAGAACACAGGGAAACAGTATCTTCATACTTGCTCTGAGGTAGCTGCAGTTTCTAAGATTTCAGTCAGTGTTTCTCCCGGCTGGAAGCGGATTACATCAACAATTAAACGCTTTGTACTGCAAAGAAACCAAGAAGAATAAGGAAAAAAGAGGTAAGAGTGAAAGCCCTTCAGTATTCTTTTTGCTCTGCAACAAGAAAATGTCATTGATTTCTCTAAAGTTGCACTTTGACTGGGTGTCCACCTGACTTATAAGCCAGAGAACATCACTGATAACATTGCGTCAAAAAGCACATGACTTTTTGGGAACTAGTTCCCTACAAGATGTCCTTTTGCAGTACACAGGAATGCTCCCCAATACCCCCTTAAGCACTGGGGACATTACCCTATATATGTCAAAGCACTCCCAGTATTGCTGTCTGGATCACAGAGGCTGCAATTCTAAGGCAAAATGCATTCACGTGGAGGAAAATATGCCTGCTTTGGTTTTACTTGCTCAAAATCAGCAGTTTTATTTTCTGTCACTTTTCCCCTTTAAAGCAATCAAAAAATATTTTAAAGGAAGATAAATTCCACTATGACAGAGAACTAAACAGAATAAATTTAACAGCTACAGAATTTAAAGGACATGGCTAAAAGCTCAGGGTGTTTCGAGTATCAGCCCCACCTTAATTTAAATTAAATTTCAACTCTATTTTCAAATAGAAATTAGCTGTAAAGATACAGTTTCTACTCTCCTCATTCTCCAAGATATGTGCTAGGCAGTTACCCTTCACTCACTTCAGCAGAATTGTCCTTGCATCCTTCTCTGCATTCTCATCACCAGGAACATCAAATTTATTAGTAAGCGTGAGAGAAACCTCAGTCTTTGCTAGCATTTCCTTGTTGGGGTCATTAACATTGCTGCATCCTTCCCCTGTCAAGTGAAAAAAGGTGTTTATATTTGATTGTTCTCTCCACATTTTTGACTGTTGGGGTTTCTAATTTTTCCTAACAGACCACAGAAAACCAACACTGCTTCCCACACTGTTAAAAAGACACTTTATGTATTTTTAAAACATTTATCTTGCATACGTCACAAGATTTTTCTTCCCAGAACTGACACTATGTGGGCCAGGAAGAGAAAGGTACTGTGTAAGCTCAAGTCTGCTCAAGTCTGTAGACATTACAAACAGGTATGTCTTGCGTACTGTATCTCAGCCTTCCTCTCCCTCCCTCCCTCCCTCTCTCTCTAATGAGAAGTCTACCTGACCTGCCAAAAATATGTTAAATAAAAATGTGTGCCTCATTGCCCGTGTCTTCATTAGAATTATTATTTAAAGCAAAGAGTAAAACCCTCATTAGAAACCAACTCTGTAATCTTCTATTAAACAAACTAAACTATCTTGTCAAGAAGAATTTTTGTTGCTCTGTGCAATGAGCACCTAATGACACATAGCCTGTCTGACTTTGTCAGAATGCTTGTTAGGATCACACAGAATGAGTGAGATTGGGAAAGGACCTCTGGAGATCATCTAGTCCAATCTCCTGCATGTTTTTTTCCTAAACACTTGCCCCCTTTTCCAGAGGGATAGAAAAAAAGATAAGACTGAAACATTAACCACATCAATACAATACATAAAGGGAAAGTGAAATGTGTGTGTGCTTTCTAGTTAAACTCAATCTAGGTTCTCTCAGATAAGACCTCCTCTGTTCTTCATGAATGCTTTGAAGAAAACATGCCATCAATCATTCCTTTAAAAGGCTCTAACCTTTCTCATCCTTCAATTTACAAGAATAAAAAAACTATTATGAAGCCACCTTAAAACAAGGAAGGAAAAAACAAGGAAGGTAAAATGCTCATGCAAGTATCCAGTGTTTGCGTTATCACGGAGCAGTGAACTGTAGGATCCAGATCTAGTTTTTAGAAAACTGTCACAGATTATCAACAGAATTGTTAGTTCCTTCCTCCCCCAGTAGAGAAAAATAAAACTATCTCCTTGTTGTCCCTACCAAACATACCAAAGTCCTTATAAGAACACACGCTCCTTTCAATGTTCAATAATATATATATATATCACATGACAATTACAGATCTCAAGACTGGAGAACAAATGCCTTTAAGCAAGCCAGGGCACTCCAATATAAGGAAAGAAATAAAACATTTCAAAATTTCTCTTTTGTCTTATAGAAATTCAGGGAAGTGGAGGACAATGTGGAAGAAAGAAGTGAGGTGGTTCTTCCAGGATAACAAATTCTGTTGTGAGAAAGAATAAATGAACAAATTTGTTGCTGTTCTCTTACAGCACCTGCTTTCAAGCAACCTCTGATGATTCCTTATTGTTGTTTCCTTACTGTACTTAGAATCATTTAGGGTAATATCACATATTCCTAAGTAAAATAAAAAGGATAATTTATGTCAATAATATGTGACATAATAAATAATAATAAAATAATAAATTTTAAGTAAAATAAAACAGATCACCTATTAAGGACTCAATTGTAGGAACCTCTCCCAGATCATCCAGTAACTCATGAATTGGATCATTGTGCTCTGGAGCAATTGCATCTTGATGGTCTAAGAGCAACTAGATGAACAAAAATAAAATGTTTATTTTTTTTAATCACATATCCTTTTCTAGCCAATGAAATTATCTCACTCAGAGCTGTCTTCTTTTAGAAAAACACCTTATTTTATTAAAATCCAAAGCAGTAATATCAACATTCAAAATTATGCCATTATCATATACTTGCATGCTTTCATGTATCATATACATTAGCATATACTTGCATGCTTTCAAAATAAGTTAGAAAAACCATAAGCAAATTACCCAATTCTGTAAACTGGCAAGCTCTTGCACACTAGTAACAATTAACTCTTGCACACAAATGGCAGTTTTCACCTTTAGATTTGTTAACCCAGGTTTCAACCCAAAAGTAGAATTTTGTTTGCGCTGCTTATAAGGATCAAACATAACCAACACATACTTACAGTGTGTGTATTGATGATTTCACTAATGGAAATATAAATAACTGGTTTAGTGAGAGTCACCAAGTCAGAATATTCATCAATATTGAATTTATCCTGCAACTCTGGGACCTCACAGGCAGCCTGAAAGAAACGTCTTCGAAAAAGAGTAGAAAAGAATCAATACACTTCTATGATTCACATGACATACCAAGCGCATTAACTCCCTGTGACTATCCCAAGCAGCATTACTGTCTTCTCTACTGCACAGCATGCTACTACTTGTCAATTCCAGTGTAACAATTATTGTTATTGAGTATGTTGATGTCAGCTCATTTTCCGCTACCACAGGAGAGGTGTGTGATTCCAGGCACCGTGTTCCTGGGTCCTCCTGCCTTCAACGCAAGGCACTTTCAGCTACCTTTGCTTTTCTTTATTACAAAACACGAAAAGTTTAAGACAATAGCTCTGGAAAGAACCGCTGATCTTACTAAACAAATAGCAAAACACAAATTCACTTTCACTTCTGAGCACCAGTTAGCTTTTACATGGACACAGGGTTCACACAGAGAAAAAAGAAGGGGATATGTCCATATTAATTGTCTATGCCCACAGTATGATGATAAACATTCAGAAAGGTAACCTTAAATTTGACGTGTCATAAATCAAAATATTTGACTTGGCAATCTCATTAATATACTACGCATGGTTTATGAATTGTAGGTATGCATTGTATTTGCCACTGTCACTGATGCTCATGGAACTCTAGGAGTGCAATCTCTTTTTTGACAGAGATGTAGTTCATCACATTTGTAACTTATTTTCACCCCCTTTTTATTTAAAATGCTACAATCTGCCAAACTTCCCAACTCAATTAGCTATGGTCTTCTACCTGAATTTTTGATATGACTGTGAAAGATATTCATTAATGAGACTTAAATGCGCATTGTCTCCCATGAACATCTTATTGGATGCAGCATGCTGTAACATCTTCGCAATGGAACCAAGGTTTCTCCGTTGATCTGTAGTCAGCTGACCTCCAGCTGAAAGATCAATGATGTCAAACGCATCTGGTGCAACAATGGCTGGATTCATGTAGCGATAATAGAGTAAGTTGCCAACAATCTGGGGAAAGTTGAGTAGAGAAATATGTCAATAAACAGAGGTATAGGTCACAGCTAAATTTTATCATAACTATTCTGACGGTGCTTTGATTAAATATTTTTTTGTGCAAGCTGTAGGCCCATTTCAAAATTGAAGTTCTACTGTCTTGCATATGCCCTCTCCCAAAGAATCTACAATGCAAAAAAAGATTAAGATGCAGTACGATGGTAATTCCAGAGAGAGAAAACTAGCACGACTAGTTACAAGAATACAGGGCTGCAGATAATGCCCATGTATAAGGATTTAGAATTCTATTCTATAAAAAAGATGTACAGACAGTAAGTATTAACAAGTTACCAACAGACTACTTATATGATCATGAGAAAATTTACCGTGGGAAGTGAAAACAGAAGTGAGTTAGTTTGACAGACGGCAGAACAATGACTGTACAGAAGAACTTGGGATTGTAGTCCAAATATAAGCCAAGAGCTAATTCTTAGAGAAGGGTGCAAAACAGGCTGCCATCTCCAATAAAGCAAAAATGGTGAAAAAGAAAGCCAAACTAAGAAATCTAGCGGCCGTTTTCCATTCTTTCTCCCAATCTCTTTTTTCCTTTTCAGAATAACACTATGTCAGCAAAATTTTCAGAGGCTGTCTCCCAGTTAAAAGGAAGCTAGTGTAACTGAGAAACACTCTAATTCAGGGTTAATAAATTCAGAAGCACAAAAGATAAATGACATTTGACATTTCAAAATTCAATTTACTTAGTTACATGAGAGCAGCAATAGGCATCAAAGGACCAAAAATAAGGATGCCACAGCATCCATATGCTCACAAATATATTTCAAACCTTTGATACTTTCCAAAGTTATTCCAGCAATAAAAACGAATTAACACAACATGCTGTCATAAAACAATTATTCTCACACTGTGCTCTAGTACTTTCTGATGGTTCATGTAAACGTGTAGATGAATAGGTCACAGAATCTTGCCTTCTCCTGCTTTCCACTTGACTTAAATGTACAAAAGGGATCAAGGGTCTGAACCAACAACTGAAAACAGAGATAAACAACCTAGCCACTGTTGAACAGAAGAGGAAATTATTAAGCACTTATCAGGTCAGCTTTTTGAGAATTACTTCCAGTAAAATATTGTTGTACTCTTTCAGGCTATGGGGCAGGACTACAACAGTCAAAGCCGTTTCACTAAAGGTAACAAGAAAATGTGTTTATGAGAAAAAAAAAATCATATTAATAATGGCCAAATTTAGTGACGGGAGAATAGAACAAAAGGTATTACACAGGTAGCTGTTGTTCCTAAAAATCTACACGCAGTCATTGCACACACTGCAGTTTTGACTTTTATGTGGACAGTTACGTTGTTTCCACGAGGACTAATGAAAACCGCACTTTTCCACCTAAATTTACAGATGGAAAAAATTAATTCACCTGCATAGAAAGAATCGATGCCTCAGAATGGGAAAGCACAGAACTAGAAGAGAGAAGAAAACAGCATTCAGATTGATAAATATTTTTTAATGAAGTAGAGGCAGGGAAGTTTAAAGAGATATGTCAAGTATTCTGAGGTAAGAAGTTCGTTTAATTAACAAGCAAAAGATTCATGGACATAAAGGCTTGGAAGATTACAAAAGGCTACTAAAAAAAAAAAAGTGAAAACCAGAAAGCTATACTCATTTGAGCGCACCTACTCTTGAGTATACTTCTAGTTCTCCAAACTTCCTGAAAAAAAAAAATACAAAACAGACTAGAACTCATGGGCAGTTAGTTATTGCTGTTTAAATGTCATAGAGCGTTATATGCATGGTAACTAGGAACATCAGAATTTAGGTACAGCATTTTTTTACTTGACATTGTCTCTTTAAGAAAAGATCAGCTAGCTATGATCAATACCAAGCAAAACCAAGGTTTTCTTCCTAGCAGCAAGAGTACCAAGTCAAGAAACCTAAAGGAGCAAACTTCCAAAAGATATTAAAAGCAAAGCAGAAGCAAGAGGCTGCCTTCTTTTGAAGGCTTCATTACATCTCGGGTGTTGTGTATGAAACTAACAATCAAATATCCAAATGTGAATTATTTTATAACCTTAAGAGAAGGGTGTATAGCTCTCTATATACTTCTATACCCTCTCTCACCCCCCACCCCTCCACACACAAGTGCACACTCACATGCTTGCACACAGGAGAAGAGCAAGATACACTTGCCACAGCCCAGCAGGCTGAGAGTTATTTGCAAATGTGTTCAGGCCCTCACCTTCAGAAGCTCATCCTCACCAGCATCAGGGAATTTCTCATGCAGGGAGTCTTTTAGCACTTTGGCAATGAAGCGCATTCCGTAACTTTGGAAGAAAGAAAAAGCAAGTAAAACTGCTGCTACAGTACTACTTTACATCAGTAACTTCTTTAAAACAGTACAGTTGTACCAGACTCACGGGATTTTGTCCACTGAACTAACAATAGCAGACAAGAACTTGTCCGTCACCGTCCTCATGTTTCTGACTGAGGCATCCAGGCGTGTCCTCACCTCTTCATGAGTTAGCGCTTGTTCAGGTGTAACATCGTATGGCAGTTTGCTATTTGAAAGAGATCAAACACAAGAAAGTGACTATTTCAGAGAGGGCTAGACAGAAATTCTAATGATGAAAAGGAACAAGGTTACATTCACTTGGTTGTCAAGAGCTAAGCATTGCTTTCGGTCCACCTTTTCGGCCCTAGAGGTGCTGGGGATTTCTTGCTTTTACTTTCGCTGTTTCCCTTGCATTGAACATTGTTAGGAGACCCAGCTAAATCAAAGCTGTACCCTTAGCACAGCATAAAAACATGCACTCTAGGCAAAAAAGTGCTGTCTGTGACATCCGATGTTTCAAGCTCACACACTGAAGCAAAGATTCCAAAATGACTCTCTTGAATAAACAAATAAATAAAAATAATCCATTACACCGAGGTTCTGCAATCTAATTCTCGTCAGCGGCTTACACTAATTTGAAAGATTAGAGGACTAAGAAATTTGATGTTGTGCTTTTGCTCCCACAAAGAAGATTCTGTATGCTAGCACAGTATTGAATATTACACTGGATATAGATGACATGAACAAGAACCGACATGGAACTGATTCCCAAGTACTACTTCTCCCATCATCTCTTCTAGGTTAGACGGCATCTTACCACTAACTTTGAATTCAGCACACTGTAGTGCCGATACAAAGACCATTTTGTCTTCCAACTATAATAAGAACTCCTTCCAAAACCCTCAACCCTGATTTGAGGAGAAAAAGCTGGTATCACATTTGGATGGATGCATGCCGTGAAGCCAAGAATGATTTGGAAGAATTAACAGAGCAGCACAAAGGAGCTGAAAAACGTAGTAGTAAACAGTTATCATACCTGGCCTCACCAGTCTGAGACTCCATCTGGTTAACCCAGGACTTGTATATATCCACAGGATCAGTTTTGATATTGAGTGATTTGTCATCAATGATTTCCTTCACAACTGGTGCCAGGATCTGTCTCAGAGCATTCTGACCACGGGCACCACGGTTGAAACTTACCACCATTTTAATAACAGTAGGATTGCCCGTCACAATCTCATGTATCTGGTCTACTTTTGATCTGAAGAAGAAAGAATTTGAATTAAATATAAAGTACACATAACGGCTTTTACATGCACCCATCAACATAAAGCCAAGTGTCAGAGTGTCACCATCAGGAAACAGAAGCATTTGTACTAAAAATCTTTATACAACAATACGCTGCAACACTGTACAGTAGTATTGGATCATTTTTGAGATAGATGAGAAGTGGAACTTACGCATCTTTCTTGGAAATGGCAACACAGCCTGACAAGTAGTCAGCCTGATGACAATTAATGCTAATTCAACTATACACTTCATTTGACAACAAAAATACAAAAGGAACAGAGGGTGGTTGATGTATGTAGTAGGAACTGTAGGTTTCTTCCCGTGTTCAAAATAAGCAAGCTTATCAGAACAAAAGTCACTCCTAGTATACCACTCCAGTAAATACAGCAGCAGAGAAAGAAGTATCTACGCTTTCCTGAACTACTCTGAACACGAATGTAAAAAATAACAAAACTCTTTAAGTAGTTTGTTTGTTTCAGGGCATAAAACAAACTCTAAATAAATGTCAGAATAGTCTCCCCCAAATTTTTACTATACATTCTTCTTGAGCAACTTGTGCAACTCTGTGTTAAAGGGAACTGCAGTCATAACACCAAACTCTTAAGGCCTGACTGACCAAACAAAATATTCCTGAGGACAGTCAGGTTCCCCAAGACTGACATTCAGTGCGACAACCAAATAATACAAACTCCTTGGTTTCAGCATTCTCATCACTAGCTTTTAGAAAACCAGTTAAAAAACAAAAACACTCTCTGTACCTCTCTCCCTGGCTAGCAAAGGAAGCTCTAGGAGGGGAAAAAAAAAAAAAAAAGCAATTTACTAGAGATTTTTATAATCAAACATTATTCAGGTTAGACTGAATTTTAGGCTAATTCTTCACTAGGGCAAAGGAAATTGCCTTCTTGGGTAGCAAAATCTTGACTACAGTAGAGAGCCCTCATCCTCACGGATGGACATGCTCAACTCCTTTCTAGACTGCATTAAGAACAGATATAAAATGGGAAGAGCTGAAAAAAGGGACACTTTAAAATTATCTGCATATTAGCATGAGATCATGTGAAAGTCGTCTCGGTTCTAGAAACTCCGAGAACTGATTCATCAACAAGGCTATACTATACGTTACCACATACTTGATCTCCTCCTGCAACGCTGTTTGGAAAAGCCGCAACAACAGGTATTCCTCTCTCTGATTGGATGCATAGTTATATAGCGTGAAGATTACAGAATCCATGAACTTGGTGGATTTGTTCTGAGGCATCTGAAAAATCAGCTTGGCCAAGTAGGTTGGATTAGTCTGCAACAACAAGGAAAATTCACAGCCCATTATTGCTGGGAAGTCAGACGCTGCAAAAATATTGTGCATAAGCAAGGTCCAGGCAAAAAAAAAAAAAATCCTCTATGAAAACAGGTTATTGAATACTCTAAGAGCAGCAACAGAAGTACATACCTGAAGTAAGTAAAACAAATGCTGATATGCTTCCAGCTTTTCTCTCTTCTCTTTACTCAAAGCTTTCAGACCTCCTCTTTGTTTATTCAGCATCATCATGTCAGAGAGCTGTTCCTTATTCTTCTTGGTAAGTTTTTTGCTATGAGAAACAACGTCCTAGGAAAAAAAGGATAGATTCCACTCTAAATATTTAGCAATGTGTAGTACTGGGAAGAGCTGCATCTCAGAGCCTACTTCTCTTGTACACAGAAAGGCAGGCTGAATGTACTCGCGATGATGTTAAAGTGGAGCATGTTACGTTATAGCATAGCAGTCTTGTACTTTAGGCTTGACTTCCTCTATTTGTCACGTCCTCCTAGAAGGGTTAGTCACTCTTGAGAGCAATTATTATCAGAGCTAAGATGTTTGAAGATGTTTCAAAATGTCTGAAGATGTTTGAAAATGCTCTTTTAAATGGGGCTTAAAGCCTTAAAATCATGCCCTATATTCAGCTACCTCACTACCTCTACATACTCTGTGAGCAATGGTACTTTTCACTGCAGGCACCTGCCCGAAAGGTACAGCCTCTCTCACAAATAAAATTCTTCTGAAATGATCCAGATCCTACGTGGAGATCAGATTCATGCCATCCACAGCCAAATCAAAAGCTGACTAGAATTTCAGCTATATCAGCAAGCTGCCCCTCTGGAGTGAGGAGGTGTTAGTTTGCCTCCCCCCCTTTTTTTTTGTGGAATTAATCACATCAACCAAGTGATAGTCTGGGCCTCCTTTAGTCCACCAGGTCACCAAGAGGCATGAGCATGTCTCCTACCTCAGAAATCATCTCTCTCTCTAACAGCATGTCACTTGGTTAACCACAAAGTAGCAGCAAAGCAGAGCTCTCAAGTCTTCAAACACAGAATCTCTTGCTTTCATTAGGTCAAGATAGTCTGACATGAGTTTTATTAGTTTAAGTTTTTGTTTTGTTTTTAAAGCTTCACATCCTATTTCTCCTCCTCCTAGAGAAGAGCTTTTGGGCTTTTACATTAAATGAGTGGACTGAAATAAAAGCTTACAGAGATAGCGTCAAGCAGATCTCTGGAAAGGTTAAAAATTATTGTATTTGGTAATCTTTGCAAATCTAGGGCAATACTTCCAGCTGTCCCAGAGCAATCGAGCAACAAAGGACAGGAGTTCTCCCTCTTAACTGCAACCCATCTCAGTTGAACTCGTAGCTGCTTTTCTTTCGTGCATTTCCTACCTGCAATGTAATTTTGTTTTTCACTAGCAGCCCAATTTTGATGTCCATCAGATTGAGGTCATTCTCCAGTTGCTGATTGGATCGGATCAAAGTTACAACTTCCTCCCGCAGCTTCATTAGCTCAAGCTCCTCCTGAAAATCTTGGTCACTTTGATCAAGCAAGTGGACAAATTTTCGTACCACGGCCATGGGTGGATTTTCAGCATTAACTAAAAATAGGTGAAAAAACATCAGCAGACAGAATCACAGATTGGTTGATTTTTGCAGATTATCTAGTCAAACTCTCCTGCTTAAGCAGCGTGACCTAAAGCACATTGCCCAGGACCCTGTCTGGATGGCTTTTGATTATCTCCGAGGATGGAGACTTCACACTCTCTCTTGGCAACAGACAACATTTGAAGTTAATGCCTGCCTCATCTGCGCTTAAATATCACAAGAGGAAGCAGTCTGGCCAAGATAAAACTACTACCACTAAATGTGAACAATTTCTGACAACATTTGAAATTTCCTATTTCGGGTAAATTACAAGAGAAATGAACAGCAAAGAATCAAGCAAATATCAACATAGTACAGTTCACACTGCTGAAGCTGATTCAAAAGTTGCAGTTCTATTTCTCAGCAACAAAAGTAGTCTGGAATCAAGTTTCCCTTCAGCCTCGAGAGCACCCTAATCAATGCACTACCTTACCAATTTCATCCCCTTTGTTCTTCAAAACTGCCTTGGTGTTACAGAATACAAGAGCAACATCCCTGGCAGATAGAGTATCAAGGCACATCAGTTTTACACTTTTAGCAATACTTACTGAGAGTTTTGTAGTCTTCTCGTGCTTTGTTTGCTCGGATAAATGCTTGAATTTTTACAACATCATTTATCTAGGATAATAAAAAAAATAAGCAATTGAACTAACCAACACATAATGCAAAAGCCAGGTACTGCATTAATTTAACAGATCAGCCTCTTACATGATCTCTGAAATACTGCAGACGATCTCTGTAACGCCTTCTGGCTTGATACATCCTGGTCATTGACTGAATCTGCAGAAATATGAGCAAATTTCCAGATAGAAACTTTCATTCCAAAAAGATTACAAAATACAGAGAAATACAACTACAACAACTAGCGAAGAATGGGAGGGAGAAAGAATTACAACTAACGCTAAACAAAATATTAAAGCAACAAATATATATTTTTTGCCCCAGGTACACCTGAGTTGTAAGGCTGGCAAATCGCTGCAATTTATAAATTTTACAAAAATTAATTATTATAATTTCAAGAGGGTAGACAGATAGTATAACAAACGAACAGAGCAATTTTGAATAATGGGCTAAGCTGTATATAAGTGAAGTCACACTCAAAGTTAGGAAATGCTTCCTAGAAAATGCTTCCTAAGAAACAGAGGACACATTATTGCCTTTTCCTCTGCTACTGTTTTATTTTACTACTGCCTCTCCCATCTGCTCCTGTTTCTTCCTCCCTCCTTCTCTCTTCTAAAAGAGGAGGAAAAAAAAAAAATAAAAATAAAAAACTAATGTATCTCCTAGTCCTTTTAATGAACAAAAGCTCACGCATTATCTTGACTTCACTAAGGAATGATTAATAATCCTGACATGTGAAATAATCCAGAGTGAATAACTCTACAGCTGCTCTAAGAACAGCTCATATAATCTGAACATTCTTTTCTTTTAGCATTTGTTTTATTGCATTTAGAATAGGTTTCTCCCAGAAGTGTACCTTCACTACTTGGTCCTTATGCGCTCGCAGATAATCCAAACGAATTTGATATGCCCTCCTCTGCTTGTAGCCACGCCACTGGGACTGAAAACAGAAAACATGCTCATCTGCTTTATTTTTCCTGATATCAATACTTGGGACAAAAGTTAGATGAGTTTTTGGAAGGACATAACTACTATGCATAAACAGAGAGGGTTTTAATTTAATCAGTTGAAACGTTTTGTTTTTACATATACATACATACACTCACACACATAGAAGTGTGTGTGAGTTAAAATTATATATATATACACACACACACACACAATAAAAGTTGATATACAAAAAACATATTCATACCCTCAGACACGAGTATATGAATTATTTAGGCAGAAATGAACACACATATATCGCTCAGAAAATAAAGTCATGATAATGTACAAAGCATGTATTTACATATATTCCAGTACCAATACTGGAGAAAGATTTTTTGACTGTGCTCCTGACAGTGCCCAAGTTTCCACTGAATACCATATCATATCATTTCATCTCCTCAATCCTCCAGATCCCTCTAAAAATTAAAATCGGAGGACAGAAAGGGAATCTTAACTTGGAATACTGAAGAATATGTTGTTTCTTTTCTATTTGTCATGAATCACAAATTAATCACATGGTATTATCTGCATAAAGATATGACATATCTGATATTGCCCTATTCCCAAAATACTGAATTGGGCAATAAAATGATGGAAAGACCTTCCTCAGATATGTTTTTCTCCCTGAAATTCTACCCCAGAATTTATTCATTTTGTATCACATGGAAAAGCAAACCACATGCAAAAACTCTTTTGGCAAAAAATATCTTTAGATAACTTGCAAAATGAAGTGGAAACCACTGAGTGCTAAAACTGAATGAAAATACCTGTATCAACTGAATGTCAAGAGTATCTTGACATTCTCTGTGTAGAGAGAACATCTGCAGAGTATGTGTCTTAGAATTAGAGGATATCACTACCTGAATGCAAGTGATTGCTGGAACTTGTTTCTTCAAAAAATTCATTCTTGAGTTGAATTCCTGGCGAACAAGATATCCTCGACAGCAAGCCTGAAGTCTTGTAATCAGATTCTCATTGGCCAGCCACAGTTGTTCTCGATTGTATGCAGCAGTGACTCCAGAGATAGTGCTCTGGATTAGCGTTACGGCGGAAAAAAAAAAAAAAGCAGCAATACAAAGACAGAATTGGCACACGAAAAAGTGGTGCTACATTAGCTTTCTCTATTGTGTACAAAAGAAACTTCCAAATTGCTTTTCAGTGAACAGCAACATCATGGTTATTTAACCTAAGATATTAGTTTTCTAAAATGGGACAAGGAATTTTGACAGAGTCTGATAACGCATAATGTAATAAATGCATTACTATACTTGCTATCATAACAGAGAACACAATCTACTGTATTGAAGCATTAATTCTTTAAGTTACACTGAAGACCAGCAGAATGGGAATGTCATCTTTTCCGAGAAAGAACTTGTCTTCCTTACCTGTATCTCCTCCCGTGACAGCTGTGTGTCATTTTGCACAAATCTGTCTGGTTCATCCCACCCGCCCTCTTTGGTCTGCAGGTTATGGTAATAATGATAGCCTCCTCTCACCCAGTGTTTCACCCATTCACTGTTATTGTTCCCTAAGAACAGAAACCACAGCATCTCAAAACCAAGCATATTGTTTTTCCAGAATACAAATATTACAATTAGGAAGTAAACATATACAGATGCACCTTCCCCCAAACAAGAGGACATACATTTTTCTGAGACCACCAATGAACTAACATGACAACTACCTAAAGCAGCACATTCTAAAAATTAAGAAGATTCCACTATTTATATACTTATTTTTACTTCAGCTTATAAATAACCCCCCTTTTCCACTTAGAGCACCAGACTTCCCCCTACTCAGAGACTGATTTTTCTCTGGCTCCTGTTCTGCACATAATAATCTTGGATTTACTTGCTCTCACCAATAGTTAACTATTTGAGGTTCACCTGTTGCCCTTTTTCTTCTCTTGATTTCTGCCAGTTCTCGATGGTATGTCTCAGCACACTCAGGAGTGACTCCATATAGCCCAACATCCGGTGAGCGCAAGGCACTCAGGGTCAGGCTAATATCACCATGATCTACTGCTTCGTTAATGGCCAGGATTCCTAAGGAAACTTGGGTAACACAAGGCAGCATGTTACTTTGACATTCAAGGGCTCAATATTTCATAGTAAACAGAAAAACAAAATAGAGGATGGCAATATGCACATGCACACACCTGAAGAGCACGAGCACATGTCTTTGTGTGCATGCAAATGTAACATACACATATAAAAGTGAGACATCTTGCAATTCAGAGGCATCAAGCCATATATAACATGGTGCCCCTGAGCACATTATTTGCGGGTCCTTCCGAGCCTTGACGTGGTACAGATTTATCCACAATACTTTTCTACAACAGTTTCATCCTTCCACCTAGCTCAAATCTGACAACAGTTTTAGTTGAGACAGCTTCTCCTAGCAGAACCAAGCCACTCTGCCAGCTGTATAAAAGGGTTCATTTCAAAAAATTAACACCATCTCTAGCGATAACAGCAGCAGCATGAGTAAGCATGAGTAGCTTGTAAACAATGCAAAATCTGAAACACCAGGAGCAGAGAAGGGCAGGAGGTAAAGAAAAAGGAAAATAAAATGCAGTTCCAGAGGTATTCCAAAACTGTGACACACACAGACATATTTGCACAAGGAAAACGAGCAAAAGAATTACACTATCACAGAGGATAGCAAAGCTGAGATATAAAGCAAAGCAGAGTTATAATAACTTTCAGCATTAGATAATATTGCAAAAACGGCTATTCACAAATGCATAACTAAGAATACTGAAGATTTGTAGTATCTTTAAGGGAAAATAAATTATCCTGCACTTCACCAAATGTTCCTTGGCATGATATTCCAACTGCTGCCTTGCCAAGGTGCACGTGAGGATGGGGAAACAGTGTATTATACTGGTACTGCTGGGAACAAATATCAAGATGAATGGGTAAACTACTGTCCTACCACTTTTTTTTTGTTTGTTTTAGACAGTTAATAGCAGAATTCACTGACCAAATATGGGCATCAAAAACAACTAAGCCATGGAGAATGTAATAAATAAATAAATAAAAACTATTTTATTTCATTTAAGTAAATCTATTGATCTTGATCCCTTTCAAAATATCCATAAACAAAAAACAAAAACGGATAAAGCACAAATATAAAAGAAAGCCGATTGCTGCGTCAAGACTGAGAATAGGGGGAGTCAGCTGGGCTGTCAACTCTACATAACTGATACACAAATGCATGAAGTACTTAGGTTAGAGCAACCTCTGAGGAATTGTAGTCCAACCTTCTGCTTACAGCAGGACTGACCAAAAAGAAAACTTTTCTCAGGAACAACAAAAACAACAACAAAAAAGCAAGCAAATAACAGGAAGTGGTTTACTGCTAGAGGCAGAAAATGTTATTACAGAAGAACAGGATGTAATTGCTGGGTGGGTCAGTTTGCCTGAAAACTGCAATAAAGAGGGAAGGTGTATATTACTGATGTATACTGTGGTCTGTGTTTTAAAGTAAGTGTGATGTAGCCTAGTAACACATAAAAGAACTGAGGCAAGACAACAATTCAGCAGAGGAATAATAAGCTCATGTGAAGCAGGCAATAACATTTAAATTGTGCACATTCATATTCTCGCACTTAATTATCCACCACAGGAGATGCACAGTTAGCTACAGTCATTAGTCTGCTTGAGAAATGTGTTTAATGAGTTAACACGATCACAAGCAAAACCAGAAAAAATAACCCAGCATACTAAGAGAGACGTTGAGAAATTTAACATTTAAAGAATTTGACATCCACTCACCAAAGAAAATCTATCACATCCAAAGCACAAAAGTGTAATTGACTTCCACTGACCTATTTACATGACACTTCTAGCTCTGCACCTTTCCTTAAGTAACCAGTATTAGACTGGTAACAGGGATTACTTGAAATATATACTATAATACTTACACCTCTGAGACTCCTCTGTGTCCTTGTTAGCCCTATAAATCCCATCCTGAATTTCATCTAGCCAAAGTACAGCTGTCTCATCCTGAGTATCCTAAAGAGAATTAAGAGGGAATTTAACTTCATTGTATTTTTGTGAAGTGGAATAATCTGCACTCAGCAAGTCAATATATTAGTTTGCAGAAGAAGCAGCATTTCAACATCTTTCTATTTGATCTCAGCACAAGGACATCATGTGAATTTGTGACCAGCAAAGACTACAGCATTAGCAGACACCACACACTGCCTCCCAGTCAAAAACCTTTTAGTCCTGATACCCAAAAAAACAATTTTCTCTATCATGGCCTCTACTAGCGGAAATCAACCCACAGACCATCAAAATCATCCTATGTTTTTTCTGCTGAAAACTTTCAGGCAGGTACACACAGCACACCACATTAAAGGGTCTGCCTTTTTTTGTACTTAGTTCATGAAAAACAGTCATACATGCTTCCCCATCACACAAGCAACTCAAGAGTGCCTTACTGCCAACTATAATCCTGAGATTTAGAAATTGCTAGTTGTTAAGTAATTTAAGATTGACTTAAGATTGATTACAGTTTGTAACTATTTTCCCCCAAACACTTCCAGTAATATGACCTCACAATTTCTGAAATTACTGCAGTGATGCTGGAACAAGCCATGAATTTAACACGTACCCAAATAAGGCAATTTCACACCAAGTGAAGTCACCAGCACAGGCAGGAACAAACTTGCGTGCACACTTTAAAAAGTTCATTATTTAATTCTGACTCAGCAGGAGGAAATGCTTCAGCACAAAATGGGTTTCTGAGGAACATTAACCCTTTCAAGTCCCTTCGTAGGGAAGCTGCTCAATTGTTTTCATCAGTAATGTATTCAGTTCCCTACTATTGGCATTGTGTGGGTTTACATTTACTCTCTCTATTGGAGAGAGAGAAAAAAAAGTAATCTCAAAATAGCTCTTAGACTCAATGTAAACTTCTGCATTGGTACTATAGAAGCAAGCTCCATTTTTTTTTTTAAGGCTACTGAAATATTCAAAGTATGAAAGTACAAGAGTCTACTACTTTGTAATTAGATGAATAAAATTGATTTCAATATCTCATCCACACTACAGTACTGCGTGCAATGCACGCATGCACACCGTTATCCCTGTTCCTAAATGAAGCAATAGGAGCCATGTTCCTCTCTTTCCATCTCCACCTTAACATTTAGCCAATGGCAACTCTCTACATAAGGGTGGTAGTTCTCAACTATCACCAAAAGTTTCCTTATTACAAAATGTGTCACCAGATGAACAACAGGCAACTTTATACTATTTACTACTAGCACGATTTCCGGCTCACTTCTTTCTCCAAACCCAGCACTAAACATAGCACATGCCAGCAGTAAAAAGCTTTTTCATTTTCAAATTTTTTTCCCCTGTGTAAGCGTATATAAAGCCTCCAGAAATATTTGACATAAAGGACTCTCAAAGAAATTTTAAAAAGTAACAAAAGTAACAAAAATAACGCCACCTCCACACCCTTAAGGTTGCAAGGGAGTTATTTTAAGAAATTCAGAACTACTAGAATTAACACGGTCTCCCTAAGAATTTGGGAGAGGCAATCACTAGTTACATATTATTTCTCCCCATACATGACCTTTGTCTCACCGCAGCAGCCAGTTCCAGGGCTCTTTCACCCTCACAGTAAAGTAGTTCTTCCCTAAATGGAGATGGAATTTCCTGGTTGAACTCAGACCCAATCCCCCTTGTGCTTTCACTGGCCACCACCAAGTTTGGCCCCATCCTCTTTACATTCTCCACTCAGGTATTCCTACCTATTGATAAGATCCCCTCGAAGTCTTTTGTTCACCAAGCTAAACAGGCCCAGCTCCCTTAGTCTTTCCTCACACAACAGATGCTCCAGTCCCTTAGTCATCTTTGCTGCTCTACGCTGGACCCTCTCTAGAAGCTCCACATCTCTCCTGCGCTGGGGAGCCCAGAACTGCACCCAATACTCCAGGTGTGGCCTCATGAGAGCTGAGTAGAGAGGCAGGATCACCTCCCTCGACCTGCTGGCAACATTCCCCCTGATGCAGCCAGGATCCCACTGGCCTTGGCCACGAGGGCGCATTGCTGGCTCATGGTTAACTTGTCAACCAGGACCCCGTACTCCTGCTGCAATAACTATACTATACAGATAGAAAAGCTTTTTATGAGATACATTTAATTTCACGCACCTGCGCTTTCTCTCTCTTGGCTCGAAGTAGCGTATCCTGATAGTGCTGTGCTACTTTTGGGGTTACACCTTCCAGTTTCGCAGCCGGAATCTGTAATGCTTGAATTGTCTTTTTGGCGTCCCCCTCATCCAAAGCTTCATTGATAAGTCCAATTGCCAAAATCCCTGGAGAAGAAAGGGATATAATATAAATATAATATAATATAAAGACCCATTTCTGGTCAACAAATCACAAGCAATGCTCCAAAAAAGTGCAAATAAGCCTTTCTAAACCAGATGTCATCCAAGAACTGTAACATTGTTAACAGAAAATATTTTTTACTGGTTAAAAAAAAAAAAAAGGAGACTATTTTTCACTTTAAAATGTCCATTAAATGTAGGGGCACTGTAATAAAAACATAATCACTCAGGGAGACCATATTAAAGGTCCTACATCCTCAGGCATCCAGCTCAGAGCTGTGAGAAGAGACAGCTATTACACCCCAAAATGGCCAAAGTTCATAGGTTACAGGTTTTCAAGGTACTAACTTCTCTGAAGAGAAAACTTCAAAGTTGAAGGCCTGCATAAAATGTATTTTTTTAATAATAACTTACTATTTCAAAGGTCTACTGAACATATATATACACATATATTCATAACAGTAACATAAGTGCACTACCAAAGACGCTATGCAAGCATAGCAAGAGTCCCATTCAGCTAAGTAAAATTTGAGAAAAATAAATCGTTTATAGTTAGTTACATGGCAACAAAATCTATACCATCCATGCCCTATCAACAGCAACCATCTCCAGCAAATCACAGTAATTTAGGTGGGAATATACCACTGGATGTCATCTGGTTCAATTCCCTGCTCAACTAGAATCATGGTTTGACCACTGCAAAACAAAGAAGTTTTTTACAGGAGAGAGAAAAAAAAAAAAAAAGGAAAGAGCTCAGTGTTTTGTATTTTTCAATTTGGTCAGTTCATTCAAGGATCATGACTTTTGTTTGGGGAAAAAAAAAAAAATCACAAAACTAGCATTTATACAAAAAAACAGAACATCTTTGGATGAAGACTGGCCAACAGAATGACTATTCGGATGGAGGAGCAATTAAGGAAAGCAATACATTGAATCATAGAGTCATAGAATACTTAAGTTTGGAAGGGACCTCTAGAGGTCATCTAGTCCACGTGGCACAGGACTGCATCCAAGCAGGTTTGAAGATCTCCAGAGAAGGAGACTCCACAACCTCTTTGGGCAGCCTGTTGCAGTGCTCTGTCACCCTCACTGTTAAGAAATTTTTCCTTAAGTTCCTGCGGAACTTTTGATGCTCCAGTTTCTGGCTGTTTCCTTTAGTTGCTGGTGGCCACCACTGAAAACAGTCCGGCCCCATCCTCCTCACTGCCTCCCTTGAGGTACTTCTAGACACTGCTCAGGTCCCCTCTCAGCCTTCTCTTCTCCAGGCTGAACAGGCCCAGCTCCCCCAGCCTCTCCTCATAGTGCAGATGTTCCAGGCGGCCCTCTTGCGCACCAGGGCCCACCGCTGCCTCATGGTCACCTTGGCGTCCACCACGACACCCAGGTCCCTCTCTGCAGAGCTGCTCTCCAGAAGGTCGGTCCCCAGCCTGTACTGGTGTCTGGGGTTATTCCTCCCCAGGTGCAGGACCTTGCACTTGGCCTTGTTGAATTGCATGAGGTTTTTCACCGCCCAGTTGTCCAGTCTGTCCAGGTCCCTCTGGATGGCAGTGCAGCCCTCTGGGGTATCAGCTACTCCTCCCAGTTTCGTGTCACCAGCAAACTTGCTGAGGGAGCACTCTGTGCCTTCATCCAGGTCATTGATGAATAAATTGAACAGGACTGGACCAAGGACTGACCCCTGGGGGACACTGCTAACCACAGGCCTCCAACTAGACTCTGCGCTGCTGATCACCACCATCAAGGGCACCACAAGAACGGCATTATTAACACACTGGCTGGGCTGTCAAACAGCATCATTTAAACATTTAAATCCCTTTAACCCCAGAAATGCTTCGTATATACAAAATTAATTTGAAAGGAATAACAGGAAGACATATAAGCCCAGACTTCCAAATTTGTGGTGTTTTTCATCTCCTCTCATCAAATTTCAGGTAACTTTTTTACTGAGTATGGGAACTTCTTTGACCACAGACTGAGACCTTCAATATTCAAAAGCAAGAGTATAGTCTGAGCACCCACACAGCACAAGCCACAGGGGCTTTGAGTTTATTTCACTGTCCATTGCCCTTATTCTTCTAATTCATTCTGTTCTTTCATGCAAATGACTTTGTTTTGTAAAACTCAGACCCTAATTGCACATATCCATGCCACCATTCCACTGCTAATTCTGTGCTCATAGACATGTTAAGCAAGTCATGATCAGCAAAGACTTCCATGATAAGTTCCCACTTATCTTTCAAGATCAGAGAGACTGCAAAGAGAAGTCCTTGGTTTTGTTACAGAAACACATACAACAGGACTGGATGGAACATCTACATATCCTCTGATTTATTCCCTGCTCCCTCTATTGACAGAAAACTAAGTCAGAAATTCCAAGGATGTCCGAGTAGAGTTACATAGCATAGACCACTTTAAGTGGTATCCATTTCTTCCTCCTCCCAAATTCAATAATCTTTTTGCTCTTAATTTGACAGCTTTCCAGGTCATCCAGACAGACTATGGTACAGATTGTTTGCTCCCTCCTACAGTTTGCACACATTCACCTTAAAAACATACTCTTCTCCTTAGAAATCTCAGAAACACGGAGTTTATTTGCACTGAAGACCAAAGAAGAGCAGTTATCATAAACAGGAATTATCTTTGATTTGTTTGCTCAAGTGGACAAGGGAAGATTACTCTATGGTACAGTAAAATATTAGAGTTCCTCATTAGAAAGTAATTTTTGAAATTGAAAACATTTGTGAGGATAATGGAAGGAGAAGATGTGCGTTCATATAGTTTCAGAACTTTCACAGACCAATACTATATATGAACAGACAGGAGACAAGTGTCCTTGCATGAGGGTATATACCAAGCACCAGAAGATGAAAGAATTCTGGCATTTCCCCTGAGAACAGTTCATCTCATTACAGGATTTCCTGTATCTTTCATTAAAGGACATGGACTGCTATAGGAGGCAGGATATCGGACTATTTGAATTTTTATACTTCTGCTGTGAGCTCTTATACTTGACAACAGTCTGCTTAATATTGCTAGGACTCCCCTATTTCCATTCTGGATTTCAGTCCATTAAAACTGTCTGGGACACTTTCTCTTTTGTTGAAATTTTTACCATTATGTTCATTTCCAGTCTTTCATCACTGCTAAAAAGAGCCGCTTAGTGCCATAAATGGTGTATTAAGTGTATTTCAACATACTACTTAAAATGAAATTTTTGAAATGCAGAAATACAAGTAGCATAGAAATTAAGCATTTACTTAATCACGTTTCTCAATTTGCAGCAGAAAAGCAGGAATTACCTTCCTGAGTGATTTGTTCAAGAAATCTGATACTGGCACTTGCTCCATATGTTTAGAACTGTTATAGGGGTTTTGTCTATTTTCTGATTAAGGATTTTTTGGAGACTTTTCCAGTCTTTTGTATTAAAAGGACACAGATGTACAGCCATACTCTTTTTCTACTCATCAACAAGTTAGTTATCAGTTAATTCAGCTTTTGTAGACCCTGGTTCTAACCACTAGCAGTAGGTTACACAGCTTTAAAACAAAAGAGAACGGCTTCTAAATTTCCTCAAAGAATTAACTGCAAACAAAGTAAACCAGCCTCTTAGAAGAGCATAAGTTTGCATTTCAATTCTAACTTGAGATTTGAGTCCCAACACCTGGAACATAAAATTTCAGTAGCATCAAACAGATGATTTAATTAAATGTGCTTTAGGAAAAAAAAAAAAAAGCATAAACATTTGAATACGCAAGTGAACAACAGTCATTTCAAAAAAAACTTTTTGGGGTTATCACTATTTCAGTTATGACCTAACTGAAATGAAAAAACCTATTTATTTGATCCCCACCCCCCCATCACTGATCTTCAAAGAAACTGTTTTGAAATAGCATTAATAAAGTCAGGAGTTAGAGGACTCGGAATAAAACTTTAAAGTACATTCATTTCTTTGCTGTTCATTCAAACTCCTCATCTACCATAAAAAAGTCTATATGACAGATCATTAGATATGAGAGCAATCAACACAGAGATGATCCACAGATGGATAGAGAAAGAGGAAAGGGGCATCCCGGAGTTTGTAAAATTGTACTAAACATTGGAAAGGGCAAAAGACCAAAGCACATTCAAAGGAGGGACCAGAAGAGAGAAGAAGAAAAGCTTAAGGCAGAAATTACAGATAATGAAAACAAGATTCCAAGAAAAATATTTTCAACTAGTGTCGAGGGTCACTCGAATGCTGAGGCTCACTCCACGAATCAGAGTGAGCAGCACTTTAATATGAAGGGGGTTTAACTCGTGGCGAGTGCCGAAGCCTTCTCCACGAGCTGGAGTGAACAACACCTCTAGGCAAAGTGAAGTCAACTCCGCTCTGCTGTTGTCTGCAGCAGAGCTTTATATCAGTGCAGGTGGGCATGCGCTAAGGAGCGGCATTCTCATTGGCCAGCTACAGATTCCCAGCTGGTTAGTGCTCCTCCAGGTGCTTGATTGCTAGGCATCGGTCCAGTTCCCCACAAACTCCAGTTTCTTATATATTCTTACTAAGGCCCCAACAAACTAGCAGCAGATAACGGTGAAAGAGCACAAAGTACTCCAAGATTTCACAACACTGAACTCAGATTTTGGCAATACTAGTTTTAGTCATGTTTGAGTGATAGAAGCCAAATCAAAAGATTTGGTACTAATGCTAGAAACTGATTTCAGACAACAGACGCAATTTTGTTATACAAAAAGGATAGCAACATGCATTAGAGCAATTAATGTGCTGTTTTAAGATATTGATTGCAATACTGCAAATACTCCTGAATGCTTGATCTATAACAGTTCTGTTATCAGGGCTCTGTTAACTACAGACCACCAAATCTTCCTTATACTAAACTGAGCTTTTCGTACATATACAAGGTATGACACAATCATGAGTCCATCAACAACTTTTGATATTGATGCATCTAGGTTTAGCACCCTTTATAGTCTCAAGGCAATCTAGTATGAATCAAGAACTTACTTTGATGTTCTTCATGCACCGCTGTGTTCACACGATCAACACATGACTGGATATCATTCCATGAGATAAATTCATTTCCTTCTACACGTGTCTGAGCTTTCAGCTTCATCAAATCATCAATATATCTGTCAAAGAAAAAAAAATCACATCAGAGCAAGCTGGTGAGGGAACACACAGTACAGTGTGAAGACCAAAAACAAAATGGAAGAGGTAACAATGAAATGAAGCAAATGCAAAAAGAGGAAAGAAAACAAAGATGAAAGACTGTATGTCTGGGTGGGCCAATCCAAATAAATACAAGAACAGTGAAATAAATGACAAAAGCACTAAAACATTAACATTAAATGAGGTGATCAGGACAAAAGATGCTGTGGGTGAACTGGATTACTACCACAAAGAATAAAGAAGTATTACAACTTCGCTTTAGTGTGAAATCTGAGAGAAGTCTTCAAAGGACAGCCCAGATATCAGACTAGTATGAGGTAATAATCCAAAAAAAAAAAAAAAAAAAAAAGACACAAGAGCCAAAGGAGATGATATCAAAGCTGGGACAAATAACAAACGACAAACAGAAAGAACTTAAAGAGCGAAACAAACAAACAACAACAAAATCCACACAAAAAGTCTAACAGCATAAGCAATATCAAGGGCAGACATGACTCTTGGAAATACTCACCTCTGGGAATTCTCATCCTCTATGTTAGTGAGCCCTGTGACTGGGCTGCTCAGCTGTTTCCATACTGTACTCACATCCCCTGAATCCAAAGCCCTATTAATAAGGGCTACAGAAGACAGCATCTCTACAGCAACTGATAGTTCTGGATGGGTGAGGTTTCCCTGCATACAAAGAGGATAAATTCCTTCTACTCACCTGTCAAACTACTGTTGTATGTAAAACACTAGCCAGTAGTTGTTGGAATAGGGGTGTGAGAGACAAAACAGAAGAACAATCTATATGACATAGAAATAGAAAAGTATCATGAACAAAACCAGAATGCCAAGCAAGAGTGGAATAGAATCTTACAGTGCTCAGTAGCTCAAGACATATGGATTAAACAAAACATCAAAAAAGACTGAACATTAACAAAGCTCTATGAGCTCTCAAAATGGGTTTGCTCTGGAGAATGTGTTTAACAAACCAGACAAGGTGGACTCCATGATCCACACCTATTCCTAGAAACAAGTGAGAACAAGGTACTTACTTCAGAGCTCTGTTGCTGCAAGGTGGCCAGCTCCCTTTGGTAAAGTTCTGCAGCAAATGGATAAACCTCTGGTAGCTGGGCCTCTTGATTCATTAATTCTGCTACAGTCTTATCAGCATCGCCCTTTTGAATTGCAGAATTAATTCTGGCCACTGCAGCCAGCCCTAGAAATTCATAGAAGCAGTAGCACAAGGAATCAGGAAAGCAGACAGTGGATTCCCTAATAATGAGAGTACTTTTATTCCACTCAATACCCAATAAGAAAACTTCCATTAGCTATAGGAAATGAGTGACGTTCTCTGATCTGTATTTCCAAAGTTAGCCTTTCATGGCTGCAGACAACCAGGCTACACAATCGCCTTTTAAATGATTATTTTTAAAAACCTGTTCATCTTTTTGCTTGACTAGTCCAGAGCACTGTTTCACTATTTCAGTCTTCTGATGATCAGAAGCCTCTGAATTGCCTTTTTTTCTTTTCCTCCTTTCATGCAGTTATTAATCATTTTTCTTTTCTATGTCTGTTGTGTCTATACTCAAAGCTTTCTACCTAATACGAATTGAACCAATCATTATTGGGCAACCAGAACTGATGAACTCCGTATAGCACTGAGCACAGAACAATCAATATATGAAATATAAACATATTCTCTTATAGGAAAAAAGTTATTTTCAGTATTAAGCTTAAAACAAAGCCTTCAAAGATAAAGTCTTTGTAGGATGTACAAATAAATTAACTATGATACAAGTCATTGTCATCTACATTTGCTGCCTGATACTTAGCAACAATTTTGTACACTGAAGCACTGAAAGGTTCTACAGATCAAACCAAGTGAGTGCTGGAGAGGGAAAAAAAAAAAAAAAAAAAAAAAGGACCCACACAACAACATCATCATGGAAATTGTGTCTGCTTAATGTTCTTAGTAGCCAACAAGATACTTAAAGAAGTATACTTAAAGACCTTATATCTCCCCACATAGACACAAATTATTGTGCTATCTTATCTTTCTGATTACATTGCATAATTACTTTACTGCAGCAATTTTTGCTTATGCTTACTTTGCTGATATCGTTGTGCTGCACTGTTAGCAGCATCCACTCCCAACTGCAACTCCTCCTTCTGCAGAGGACCTGTCAGGCCAGCCTGAAAAAAACGACAAGCAATAGACAAGGGGACAAAAATGTCTAGAGATCATTTAATCTATGGATATCTAGAGATCATTTAATCCAAATCCCTCCCACTCAAAGGAGGATCAAATAGAACATGTCACCTAAGACCACATCCAGGTGGATTCTATCCTCTCCTTGGCTTCTTGTCCTCTCACTGGGCACCACTGAGAAGTTGTCTGGCTCCATCTTCTTTATTCTCTCCCATCAGATTTTTACAAACATCGATAAAATCTCCTTACCACTACCGTCCCACCATCTCTTCTTGAGGCTGGACTGAGTCCTAACTTTTTCAGCCTGTCCTTGTCTGTCAGATGCTCTGGCCCCTTAATCAGTTTCTCTGCCCTTCACCAGACGAGCTGCAATATTCCCACGTCTCTCTGCACTGGGCATCCCAGAACACAATCACAATACTCCAGATGTAGTCTCACTAGTGATGGCTAGAGGGAATCGCCTCTCTTCACCTGCTGGCAACGTTGTACTTTTACATACATATAAACACTGTACTTGCTTTTCCTATACAGAGGTTAAAAATAAATGATAGATACGTTTACTGTATGCTTTTTTTTCTGTCTACATTACATATTACATTTTCCAAAGTAAACTGTGTGCAGTTATATTGAAAATTATTACAACAGTATGGTGAAAGGACAATAAATAAATAAATAAAGAACTGCCATGGTGAGCTAGGCTTTTCCATACCTCCTGTTTCTGGTGTCTATCACTCAAAAATTGCTTGAGATACCAATCACAGTTTTCTCGTAGTAATCCTCGGAGTCCCAAGGCTGGCGTTGCCAAAGCTTCATATAATGCTAATGCATTTCCTTGTTCCAAAGCTAGACCGATCTTTGATATAGCTGAATATGCTAGTAATAAAGTAAAGCAGAGTTTTTAGGAAAACATTAAATGAGGAAATCCCATGATTTATATAACCTAATGCTTAGAAATAAATATGCTTAGACCTGATGGTTGACAATTTAGATATGGAACCTGAATAGAAGGCTTCCAAAGTCATTTGCGAAGTAGCACTATAATGAGTAGTTGAAGAATAGAAATAATCCATATTACTCAAGGAAAAAAAAATTATTGAAAAAAATCATTCAATTCCCCAAAGGTTGGGCAGCAGAAGTCAAAATGAATTGAGCTTATAAATGTGTACTAATAACACATAAAATAAAAAGAATGGAAAAATTGCCTTCCACTTCTGTTCGCATTATATGAAGTGCTTGCTTTCAGGTATTCTTTAACTATTTATCGTGATACCTACTATTCACTTTATTGATGTTGCCCTGAATCTCAGCTTGAGTCAGAAGTTCTTCATACACATCTCTCTCTCTCTCTGAATTTTCAGAGGCCATCTGAAGATGAAATAAAAACTAATCAGTCTGTTTCTACAATTTCTTTTGCCTTCATAAGTTTTCTGTGACCCTCACATGAAAAAATGATAGGGAGCATAACTGTATCTACATAGAGCTGTGACAGGGGGGATCTCTACATCTGCAAAAAGATGAAAGTAAAAACATATAAAATAAGTATACCTATACTCACTCTCCAATACAAGAGTCTTATTTCAATCTAATGGTCCTAAAAGAACACACACTAGAGCTTCAGCACACAGAAAGCGGTAGACATAACTAGGTATTAGATATGTGGAGTTCTAAAACTGCAACCACCTCTTCTGAGAGGTTCAGAGGGCCTGTTATGCACATAATTTAATTTTTTGAAAGAAGTGTCAGCACTGTCTGAAGATAGAGAAATAGCATTTCTAAAAAATAAAGGCTGATGTGAATGCTGTTCATCAGTGAGACTCATATTTCAGACAGCTAAAGACAATAACGTAGCTATGGGTGCCTGTTTTCGGCTGTAAGAAAAGAGGTTATTGGGGATAAAGTAGAACATCAGTCGAAATAAATCCATCCAACACAATACACAGAGGACTGTCCAATACACACACTTGATTCTTCATTTTCCTCTGCAAGATAAAACAATTTACTGCAATCTACACACAAACAAACGGTCTGAAAGAGGAATGGATTTACCCTATTTTTTGCATTTTCCATCTTGTCATTTTTTGCTCTGTAGAGTGTGTCTTGGTAAGTGGACGCCAATAGGTCATCCAGATTTACTAGCATGGCATTAGGGTTCTTCATTGCTGTAAGAGTGTCAGCTGGAATTTGATGGTCAATTGCTTCATTAATGGCAATAACAGCAGCATGCACTGAAAAACAAACCACACCTTGCAGGTTAGTTGCAAACACAACAGCTCTAACTTTAACAAATTTAGAACTTAACTGGAAAGAAGGTCACATGAAAAGAACCTAATAATTCTTTTGTTATTGCCAAGCCTTTTATCAACACACCTTTCACTCCAGCATGGCTTTATATTCTGGACATAAATGGTGACATATTCCTAGAAATGGTGACATATTTCCTAGTACTATTTCCATCTAATAAAATCAAGGTGTCACAGCCAAGAAAAAAAAATCCTCCCCCTCAAAAACAAACAAACAAACAAAACCTTTCTTATCTTTGAAAAGGATTAAATTGTCTCACAATGAAAAATAATACAACAAATACATAGTATCTAATCTGCCAATGTTAAAGAAAAAAAAAAACACAGAAAATGAAACTCCTATTTTCCTTACATGCTGCTTCATCCACAGAGAGTTCATTCGCTAGAATTCCACCAATTTTGCTGAAGGCAGGCATCTGGATACCGTATTTCTCCAGTTCAAGCCTCATGTTACTGATTTCTTCCTCTGAAACATGCATAAAAACATACACTGACTGCTTCTGTATAAAAACTTAGGACAGTCATATTAAGTTAGAAATTACTGTTTATTAGTACCTGGAATATAAACCAGTAAAAGTAAATGAGGTTTAAAGGAAGTGGAAACTGATACACATTTTCTATTCTTTCCTAAAATCTACAGTCAGCCCAGAAACTCCTACGGGAGAATTCCAAAGTCTTCCTCACAAGAAAATATCATCCAACTCATACGAAGAGCCAGAAAGAGACTCTATCTTTGCTAGGTGCTTCTGTTACAACTGTCAACAGATCAGAAAAATGGACAGGCAGTATTTATTTAGTTATTATTTGTTCAGAGAGTGCTATGTTGAAAAGGAGATGGAGAATATGGAGACATACTATTGCTGAATACCTTAAAACTGAAAAACAGTGCTGGTAGTTAAGTCTCTTAGGTACAATCAATAACTGGTTTGGAGGAAAATAAATTAAAAAGTTAGACATCTCTCAAATCAGGTGTCTGCATTTGGGCAATAACCTTACTAATGCAAAACACAACTTGGCATTTTGGAAAAAAAAAATAATAAAAAAAATAAGGGACCAGAAATCTTGAGGAGCCATGTGAACATAAGTAATTCAGTTCTAAAATATCCTACAGCAAAACACCTAGTAATTTTTTTTCTGCAGTTAATGGTAGCTCTATTCTAAGCAGTTCTGACTTCCCTGAACAGTTTACCAAATTCCAGACTGACAGAGCCTTAACAATCTAACAGATGAAACTCCCTCTAAGGTAGCAGGGCAAGGCTGAAGCACCATACAACAGTGATAGAAAGGTAAAACCTGTTGTTAGTGAAAGCAGTATTTAGTGGACTCATGGCTACACATCAGCTCTGATAAAAAGTACCCAAAACAAATTCTTCTTCTTAAGCTACTGGAACTTCTTAATGCCATTTACCTTTCACTATAGTAAAGTCCCCTTTATGAGTTGATTATCAGTGTCTAGCAGAGCATGAGATAAAAGACAGCACAAGAAGCTCTTTGGGGGTTTTGTTTTGTTACCTGTGAAGTCCACCTTCCCATATAAATCCTGAATTTGCGGAGCAAGCCCCAGTTTGAACAGGTACAAGCTAAAAACAGAAAGAAATAATTAGCACCAGAATTTTAAGTTGTGATCCTGATAACGACACAGAATTTTAGAAAACCATAGATTCAGGGAGTCATTCAGACAAGCCAAGCGAAAGAGCTCACTGACACCGAACGATAGGCCAAATCCTGTTCCCCCCCATAGCTGCACATCAACGCCCCACTGCCCTTTGAAGACTTCGCTGAGCTGATTTGACTTGCTAAAATTACAATAAAGTATTCATTTGCTCACCTCTCTCATTTCAGACAGTTGAACTGGTTTACAAAGGAGTATGACAACTACTAGAACTGCTACGACATTGCTGACAACAAACAGCATTGGAGAAAGGAGAACAACTCCTCTTTCCCCCCCGTCATGTCACCTTGGCTCAGCACAGCTCAAAGAACTGTGTCCTCTAGTAGGATATCTTATAATCAAAAAAAGCAAAAAACCCACCTTTTTCTAAAAAACGACACCTTACATTAACCCCCCCCCCTTTTTTTTTTAAACAGTGCTAAAACAAAACAAAAACAAACAAAACACACACAACACACCACACTGCTTCCTCAGTTTAAACTTGGAGTCATCATCTGCTTGGAGAAAAAGGAGCAAAGATTTCCTGCTTTATACATGAACAAAAAAAGTCAAATCTAGGTCTCTAGTCTTCATGGATCTAAGTAGCTTTCTACAAAAACACCAGGCAGAAACATTCCTGGTCTAGGGAGTGTCTATAGAACTGTACTCTCGATATTTTTTATTATTTATTGAAATATAATGATGCACTAAGGCTGAAAAAGGAACACATTTTTATAAAAGCATCATTTTTCTTATTTATATTTACATGCCAGAATTACTCTCCTTCCTCAGTATGCAAAATTAATTAAATAATAAAATCTTGAGACAGATTCTGCAAAGGAATCGGTTATGGAACATTTCACCCCAAAATGGAAAACAACTGAAAAAACTAAGATGCATTAAAAAGACATTATTATATGAAAGTTTATACCATGTACAGCTTTAGCTTAACTACCTGGACTGTTTGCATCTATTCATTCCTTGAACTCATTTTCTTTACCTAAATTCTAACAAATTTAATTTTCTTAAAAAAGAGAGTTATTGTCTACGAATCAGAGTGCAGAAGTTAAAGAACAAAAGCAAAAACAAAAAATTAACTAAACTGGCTAGACTGTGACAAGCAATATGACAAGAATACATGGAAGTCAACTCCAGGCACAGGGTAGCTACAATAACTATCACAAAGCTGCTAGTAATGGAAGAACTTTGTTATAAACCATCTGAAAGGGAATGCTGCTCCTGCTAGTGGCAGGGTACGCCATCGCAGGTCTACTCTGGAATGGTATATAAAGTCCAAATGATTCATTCTCCAATGGCAATTCTTTTTAGCTCCAATTTGGAATCACACTATTTCTATAAATAATAATTTGATCCAAAACAGTCTGAAATATCTTTTAACATTCAGCTAAACGCCACTTATCTGTATGATTTCACATTGTCAACAGATTAAGGAGCAGTTCTTGAGAACTGACACTGAGCAAGCAACAAAGATCCAAATTTATATAATCCAGCATTCCTTCACCTAGTAAATTTTTCAAAAGGACTTCTGTACATGCTGCAGTACACCACTGTGATCACACTGGCTCACACACAGTAATAGCACTTTCCGAGGCTTCAAGACTTTCCTTTATTCGCAGAGTATTAGCTCTGGCTCTAAAGGTAAAAAGGGAGGGTGAGAACTGGGATGGCAAGTGAGTAATCGCAACATACTTCTCGGCTTCCTGTTCCCTCAGCATCTCTCTTGGCCAATGTCCAAGACAAGACAGTGGCTAAACTGATATTCACTCTGACCAAGTATGACTCTTCTCCTGCTGGTAAACGTATTCCATCCATCCCTCAGCTCCACGTCCATGAATGTGCATACCGCTTCCTTCACCTTTTGGCTTTCCAGACAGATTTCAGAAGCAATTCAATTTCTGCCTAGCACGCCTTACCTGAGCGCATGAATACAATAGATACAGCGAGGCATGTTCTTGCGATCATAGATATCTGTAGTCTCTGGGTAGAAAATCTAAAGATAAAACAAGTTAACAGTCTGAACAATAAAATTGGCGTAACTGCTGTAAGTCCAAATATCTGCAGAACTTTTATAAAACAGCCAACAGGACAGAACTCTTATGTGGGGCTTCCCCACCTTCCTACTAATTGAAGTACCAAGCCTCCCTTTCATTTCTACCATCCAAAGCTCTTTCCACTCAAGTTTTACACACTAAGAAGCAGCCAGCCTTTCTTTTGGGTCCCCACCAAGATACTGGGTCTTTGTAGGGACTTCAGGGAAAATCAAGAGACGAAGAAAAATATTAATGGAAGAAGAGAGAAAAGAGGATTTTGTTTAGACTAAATGGGGATGGAGAGGAAGAGAAGACATGGTGCATCACATTTTTGGGCCCAAAAGCTTTCAGAGAGTCTCAAATGAAAGAAAAAAAAATCTTCCAAATTTAGCCTAAAGAGTTAATGCTGAAAGTGTGTCATCATACAGAAGTGCTGACAAAGTAAACTACTTTTATTTGTGCATTCCTTGTTGTTGCCTATGAGTACAAAATAACATTGCTTTTTCTGTAAAGGCAAGAGTAACTAAAGAGCACTCACAATTGTAAAGCATCACTTCCCTTGCACTTCTGCATGGAAATGTCCTGAAAACACTAATGTCTCATTGTCAATATACTGGGCTCCTGAAAACACTAATGTCTCACTGTCAATATATTGGGCTCCAGTCCAGTTTCCTTAACATCTCCTTATGCAAGTTTCCCCCAAAACCTCACTTACATCTGAAAATCTTAACTCATACCACACACCTCTGTCTAGCTCACTCCATTTATTTTCATTTCACCTAAGCATCTTCAAGTGTATTTCAGGATCACCTGCTGCCAAATGTGTTCCTGTAAGATCATCATAAATCCAAGATGGCTCAACTAGTAAGTCTCGCCTATTCCAAAAATTTTGAAAAAACAGTGTGTCCAATTTGCGAAGACATATCCAACAAACAACAGACTAAACTAGTCAGTTCTGATTTTAGTGGTGCTGAACATAGCAAGGGTTATATATAACACAGGAGGAAAATTTACTTTGGGTACTAATCCATGCATGTGACTACTATCAGCACAACACTTAGCATAGTTTCATATATTTTAAGGTCACATCATTTATTATCTCAGAGAATTTTATCTGACCAGTACTTCAATGAAGTCAATAATATATGCTTGATTAGAGCACACCCCGGACATATTCCAACTTGATGAAAAAACTCCATGTTCTGCTGATTCTTTTACCATAGATGTATTAAAAAAACTGCCACAAACAAACCTCATCTCACATATTGGTCAACTGGATGCAGAATAAGAACTATGTAATGCAGATGTCATGCAAGATTAGAAATATAAATAATATGGAACAGAAGGAGGAATTATTTTTTCCTAATTATTCATTCCCCCCCCACACATACACACACACAGAAAGCAGAATGAAATATTTCAGCAAATTTTAGGAGAAAATTTGTACAGAGAGGAAACTCTGAAATGAAGAATTAACCCGATAAAGTCTGCTGATTCCTGTCCAATAGCAAATGCTTCCATGAAATGCATAGTTTCTTTGAAATTATGTTTGGATCAAAGAAATTACCTTGGGGAGACCAATCTCAGCCATTGCATTCAACCACTGAATTACATTATCGGTGTGTCGGAAATGGAGACCAGTTGCCTGAAACATAGTTAGAAAGAAGGGAAGGGTGGTAAGACAAACTGACAGCTGCCAATAACACTAGGGAGCTTCACTGAAACAATGAAACCTGCCTTTTGCTAAAAATAAATAATAAAAAAAAAGAGTCAGAAGTCTTTATATACAGTGACATTATTTATAACAAGGCTGCACTCATGAGAAGAAACTTAAGAGTCTACCTCTCTCGCTCTAAAGTCAAAGATTAATGTAAATGAACATTCTACTTATTCACTCACAGTTCCTCCACATACACATTTTCTTTCCTATTTCAGACCTCTAACCACCCAGTCTCTATGGCCAACAGTTCTCACCTTGTATCTAGTCTGTTCCCTATCATAGATTTTCTTCACAGAAACCACTTTAGGGGAGAAAAAGTTCCCAAGTTTAGCCAGATAGACTCCATTTCTCAAGCCTTCTTCCAACTCTGTTGTGGGAGGTAGCTCCTCATTCAGACAGGCTTCCATCCATCTGAAGTAAGAAAACAAAGCAGATCACATAAGCACATTTCCAATTCAGAAATGCAGCCTCATATTAAAAAAGTTGCATACTGCTACTTCTATGCCATTCCTCATTAGCAGCTGATAATAGTTACAGCATTATCAGACAATCTGTGCCATTATAATAGTACTCAATAATGCTTCAGATAAAATATTAAACAGAAGAATCCAGTAGTCAAAGTTTCACAAGTTATCAAGATATTGTCTCACAATCATGTTTCTCCCTCAGCCAGTGATTTAGTCTGTACTAGTCTAGACACAGTAGCATAAATCTTCCTCTTGAACACAGGCTCATTTGACAAGTATCTTTTTATTCTATTTTCATTAAATATCTACTTGTTATTTCATGACTTTGTGCCACTGATGCAAGCTCTTTTAGTTAACCTCATAAAGATGTTTTGGAATGCTATCATTGAGTGTACATTCCTTACCTATACTTTCCCTCACTCCCACACATTTTAAACAAAGTATTGGGAATAGACTTTTCCAGCCACAGCTTTTACTTTTCCCTTCTCATATTAGCTGATTTCCCTTATGCCGTGTTCTTGTCTTACATAATGGTGTTACTGCATCTCTCATGACAAAAATAAAGATTACAGCAGCAAATAATTTGGAAAGTCACTGTCCCCACAACAAAAGCTCACCTATTTCTTCTTAGCAAAGCTGCCACAAGGTGGATACCACAACTGTGGCTATGCAGCTTGTTCTGCAGGAGACGCGCTCCCTGTTCCGTTCTCTGCATCAGGGAGTTCCAACGTCACAGGCCACTTTCTGAACACCTGCCTGTCTCCCAGAACCCTCGCCTCACTCCCACCTGAATTCCAAAGCTCCTAAAGGACACGTCAGCCTTGGATCAATGAAAGCCACGGAAAAGTGACCCAGAAGAGCAGCAGCACGTGTTATAACACAGATCTAACACTGCATATGAGCTTATGAGTAAGGGTAACAACGTGGGTCTTAGTGATGATGGGTTCTCATTACTGAGACTGAGTCTAAAGGCAGTCAAGCAAAGGGTACTGCTGAATAGCTTTTGGGCGGAGGAGTTTGTTTTTAGGAAACTCAGATATATTAGTCACAGAGAAATATCTATAGAAACAGAATTCTAATTTCTAAATACTGTTTTACATGCATATATAATTCAAGACTATTTAACTCCATATTAATCCAGGCAAAATAGCAGAAAAACATCAGGCTGCATGCAAAGGATAAAAGATTAAATATAATTTTTTGGTTAAGTTCAGTAACACACACACACACACACAAAAGAAACAGGCCATATAAAATACATTTGGAAAAACTATGCAGTTGTTTACCACCTTAAACAGCAGATATTGCACTTCTGGGAGGGCTTCGTGCCTCTCAATATTCTCATTAAAATCTTGCACTGAACATACATACAAAAAATAGTTTATATATACTAAGAACTGGCAGACATCTCAAAGTAGCATTTTCATAGGACATCATTAAATAGGATTACTTCTAATGCATTTTGACATACTATTTCTCTTTCAGTTTTCCAGAAAGTAAAATGAAAACCAAGGAAGACAAAAATCAGATGATTTTATCTATGTATCACATGATTACTATATGGAATATTAGCATAACCGCAAACTTTGAATAGTATATGGGTGGTCATGGTTCCAGTAAAAATGGAACTGTTTAAATAACCCAGACCTAACATATTGCTAAATACTAGTTCACTGAACAAGCATGTCTACAGACTGGGGACCATATCCTAAAGAGGCAATCTGTAACACCAAAAAATGCATAGCAAGTAGAATGCATATATTGACTTCTAGGTTAATTTTTTTTTTTAAAAGAAATCCTAGAGCTAGGCTGGGAGAACACCAAGCAGAAAAGTTACATCAGGTGCTATTATCCCTTTGCATATGATGCTGCTAAGTAAATAGATTGCTGTGGTCTACATTTTTTTTTCTCCTTCAAATTGGAGAATGGGAGGAAGAAGGAAAGAAAAAGTTTTGATTAGTTAAAATAATTCTTCACAATGAAGGGCTTAAACAGTGCAACACCTTCATTTTGAAATAAAGTGGAAAGCAATATGGTGCTCTCAGAGTCTCAAGGTAGCAAACTGAAATCAGATGACTGAAGCTATAGTTATCACCAGCATCATGCTCCATCTTTTTCAGCAGCAAAAGTAAGGCAAGAATATATGATTCACATCTGCTTTTAAGCATCAATTTTCAGCTCAGTCTGTAAGGCTCAATTAAAAGAATTAAATAAACTTTTAAAACCTGCAAAGTCCAGAATGATGACAGACTAGATGATACCTCTTTCTGGTCTTAAAATGAAAATATCATCTGTGACTATTTTTTTTTTAATAAAAAAGTGCTTTACATATAAAATATAATTTAATCTTGTACAATTTACTCTTGATATCAAGTGGGTTTTGGTCTCCTAAAATATTCGGAAAAAAAAAAGTCGGAGTACTTTATATGCCCTTTGGTAGCACCCGACCAGCTGGAAATGCTGAGTTTCACTGCCTCGCTTATTCATACGTAAGAAAGTCATCAGTTGGCCACTGAACACCAAATGGCTTGTAATCACAATCTTACTCATCTTGCCTTTGAGCTGCTCATCATCTAACTTGGGACAACAAAGGGAGGACTCTTTATGGATAGCCTGTAAGGTACAGAAAACAAATACAACCCAAAGGACATATCAAGGGAGTGAAGAATTGAGTCAAAGTACAAGCTACAGAAAGCAAACCAGTTTGACAAGTTTGGACATGCTGGAGTCACAGGTGGTAGTGACTAGATGTCAGAATATTTCCAAATAAGACATAAATCAAAATATCCTGCATTAGAGAAAATTCCACAATTAAAAAAATTCCCAGTCCATCTAGTCTAAATGACAGCAATATTAACACCTCAAATTGCCATGTGCTTTACATTAAGTGCTCCAGATACAGTGTACTTAAATGATAAGGAACATTCCTGAGACAGAAAAGTATATGCAGAAAGTTGCTCAGTTGAGCCTAGTTGCCTCAGTTGAGGCCTCTGGAAGGCTATCACACGTAATTCAGACTTCTTTTGTACAAACTGCTATAGTAAAAGGCATTGTAAGTCACAAATCATGGCATTTATATCTTAAGACTATCATATTTGCTCAAGTCACTTACTGAAATAAGAATTCAAACTCTGTAATGAAGCTATCAAAAGCATACAATTGCTACAGTTTCTTGAACAGAACGATCTCAAAGAAGCCTTTAGCTGCAAATAAGGAATTGGGGATCCTACTAGAACTGGGCAGGCACTTGAAAAATCACTTGAAATGCCATTGTAAGAAACCAAAACACCAAGTTTTCTATTTTTATAAGCGTCTACTATCAACAGAAATAACAAATTAAGGCACTGAAACTAGAGCCCAAGTACAGCATCTGCTCTTTGTCCAGGCAACAGATCAGTCATCCTTCTTAAGCAGGATCAACCAATCCTAAATGAAACATACTGACACGTTGGAGTGCAGCCCAAGACCAGAGGAAGAGGGACTAGCAACCAAAACAGGATGGGAAAGACTGGAAAAACAACAAAAATAGCATTACCAGAAAGAAAGGACTTCTGTAGATGGGATCACAGAGAAACTCATTCCTCCCCTTTACCATTTTCCTGTGCCTTACTGCTTTCTTCTCAGAAAATCTGTTCCATCTTTATGTTCTGGGAAATGCAGAAGGGCAACTAAATCTGAGTAAGTGACAGAGAAAATATTAAACTTAAAAATTCTAGACCATCATCCAAATGATTCACTAAGCCAAAAAATGCTTAAAGCAAATGAAATACTACCATTCAGATCATACTCTGTCCTCATGCCAAACTAGATGGCTGTATTTCCTGCAATATTCTTTCAGCAACCCAACCTTCTTCCACATTCCTTCCAAACGGTGCAAGAGCTTTCTGAACTATTGCTTCCACACCTAAAATCATTATAACCAAAGACTTTGAGAGGATCTGGAACCACTTAAAGCCTGGAAGCACTGAAATGCTAGCAATAAGTTAACAATCCCCATCCCAACAACCTTTTTGGGGCCACAAAAACATCCACTTTGTTCAGCCCAAGAAAAACTGAAAATGAAAGTATAAGGGAAATGGAACCAGATCACTTAAGTTATTGAAGGGCTCAGAGGTGGTGATGTTTAATCATTTCTATAAAGTAAGAAAAACAGTCCATAATTAGAACATAAGCTGTCTCAATGTAATCATGCCTGTTTCAACAGGTTCTTAAGTGGGTGCAACTACAAAAGCTAGGAAATTTACACACAACAAAACTTCCCCTTCTTGCAGCACAACTTAACTGTTTGCTAGACTAGAGGATAGTCATTTTTTTCATAAAGTATCATGTATACAGCAACTTTTTTATTTAAAACGATGCATATTTATACTAAAACTTTCATCACTCACAAATTCTGCCCCCTCTATTTGTACCTAGCCTAAAGGCATCCCTCTAAAGACATACCAAATAGAAGGCATTAGAATAACAAGCTATTGATAAGGTTTCCACAGGAACCCTGAAGCTTTTTTTTGCTACTTAAGGCCTACTATGACAACATTTCTTCAGACATATTGCAGGCCCATGCAGCTTCTATTATGCTCCCTACTCCCGACACCCCTCCTTGGGTGGGGTGTGTGTGTGGGGGGGGTTTAACCAGAACTAACTCCTCCAGTTTCATGACTTGACTGAATAAGCAACATAGGAGTCTCCTATGTTACTGAAGCTAACTCAAATGAAAATAATCATTTCACCTTTCTAATCAGACAGTCCTATTGCCAAATCAAACACAGATGCCACTCCTAGATAAGATCCTTCAATATCTACCTAGTACTACCAGTTTCAATATAGAAGCAGGCCTTTCTTGAAAAGGAAAAGAAAATGGTGAAAAAATATAAAAACCTAACACGAGGTAAACTCAAAAAAATTGCTCTATTAGCAAAAAAGGGGGAAAATAAATTCTATTCA